TCGAAAACCTCCGTTTTCAGTGATCGAAAACGCCGTATACGTGTGGACGGAAGGCTAAAACGGAGAAAAAAATCTCCGTTTTCGAAAAATATCCGGATACGTGTGGACGGGGCCTTAGTTGCATAAGCATCACAACAAACAAGTTTAGATTTCATTGTTTTGTACCGGACATTTGATTGGCTGGATTTGAAAATGTTGGAATCTATTGTTTCAGTTCTGCCATCTGATTGGTTTTCATTGTCTGGGTGACCCCGGTTTTGGTAAACGCACCGTAATTCTCTCAAACGATTCGGATCACGCAGGAGCTCAGATCGCGTCCGTAAGTAAACAAACACGTACTGGTCTGATAAACAGCCCCTCACTGCTTTTCCCTCTCCTTCTTTCAAAGACTTGAAATTAAGTTGGATAGACCATATTCAATTGCTTCCATACAATTCATATCCTTAAGTATATCCGAGGACAAAAGCTAAATAAAAAATATTTCTATAGTACTTGAACTCAGCAGACACTAATTTTGCTCTGCGAGTTGTGTCGTTGATCGCACGCGACGTCATGACGTATAGTCAATACTTGTTTGTTCAATGGTTAATGGGTATTTACGTCAGCGGTGGAAAAATCCACTGGTAAAATTTGGCGCGCTGCAAGTGGGAAAAGTCCTTTCCAACGGCGAAACCTACAGTCCAGGGAAGAATTGTTGGAAAGGACTTTTAGAAAGTCTAGTAAACGGAAGCCGTATCCGCAAAGAAAAAGTTGCGGATTCAAAAAATATCCGGATACGTGTGAATGGGGCCTAAAAATATTCGTGTTCGGCATCAAAACGCCGTGTTTATTCCTTAAAATTTCAACATTTATGGCAAGAATTTCCCAGTTTCACTGTTTTAAACCAAACTCGACATCGATGTATGAAAGCTGTAGGATATAGAAACTGTACGCGAAAAGAAGTTGTATATTTCTACGGCAAAAACAAAGCCCTCGGCAGCATTTTTAATGAACAAATCTGGTTACATCCCCGAGTCTCTTCGACGAAACATACAAGTTTTCTGGTAGAAATACACCTAAGCACCGCCGAAATAAAATTTATCATCGATATTATTGAAGAGATATTGACAAGTAAGTCATCAAAAAACAGTGTTCCTGGATGTTGACAGAAAATTATTTCCATTCAAACGAAGACATTTTCACTCGACTGAAACTATTTTTCATTCATTCAAAGGTCATTCCCCCCCCTTTTTTTCGTTTATTGTCGAATGGGTTTCTGATTTTGGGTCGGTCGGTCGGAAAAGGAAAAAAACAAAAATAAAATTGGAAAAGGAGTCTGGAGCTACGAGGCCCGGTACCTCACGATAATATCCGTGGAGCCTGGAAACAACAAGGTGTGGTTACAAAGTCAACATCGTGGCAATGCAGGAAGGAAAAAGTCGACGTCGTTGTTAAAATCAAACAAGAACAGGGAAAAACTAAAAATCTGTAAGGCAAAAAATTGCTTATGTTTCAGATTAAAGTG